CACATAAAAAGGAAAAAGAACCAAAAAAATGTTTTCAACAGAATTTAGTAAAAGCGAAGAAAAGAAAATATTATAAGAAAAGTAAACGAAAAACGAATTGGGTTTTAGTGGGTGTGGGCGGATTATCAATTGTTAAATACTGTAAAGTGGCATGAAACATTTTGTTTTATTGTGTGGCATGGTATGAGCAGGAATCGTTTCGGTCCTTCGTCCTGACATTAGGTGCAGACACAATGGATGAGCGGCAATTTGTCAATACAATTATTGAAGTCGCATAGTTTGGTATATAAGTGTACACGACAGCATACTTTTAGGCTGCGCTCTGTATGTGTGTGTGTGTGTTTGTGTGTGTTTGTAAAGTGTCCTCTTAACAGGACATGAACTGTCAGTGAACCCTAAACGTTTGTCGTGATTAAATGCAGGTTAGTTGACAATGCTTAGAAAAACTCGGAAAATGTTGGAATAGGGATTAATTGGATTGATAAGATTAATGAGCAACGATTGCAATTATTTACATGACATTGAGCACAGAATATCATAAAAGGAAGAAGTTGGCTATTGTTCGCTGGAAAAATGGAAATGATTTCTTCAAACTATTATCTCAGTTGTTTATTTTATGCTATGTTTTCATTGCTAATGAAGAAAATGTTAAAGAGTATTAATTAGAAATGAAATAAACTTGAAGCTCAAAGTATTTTGTGAAGGTCAAAAAAAAAATTTAGAGATGAAGTTTTAGATGTTTGGGGTTAATAGATTGAGTAATTGAAATATTTTTTAAATATATAAAAATTAATATATTTTCGAACATTTTGCTAATATCAAAATAAGTATTGGTTCACTGGGGACTGCAATCATCCACACACAATATAATACTTTGATAATTTATAAATAACTCATTGGTTAAAATTTTTTGGTACATCGGAACAAGGACCGAGAGATTCAAGCAGTTCAGTGAAATTTAGAAAATCCTTCTCCACAATATAGTTTCCATGCAATGTCAGTGATGAAGCCTACATACATATTTAAAATAAAGAAACCTACTCGTTTTACTCGACGATTGATAATACATGTGAACTTCACATAATTGTATTCAATGTGAAGTGTTGGCTACATATGGTAGTTAGGAAGGAGTGACGGTCTAGAAAGCCCATTGGAGCTCAAATAATGGCCAAATTTGGTATCACAGGAATAGTGTTGATACGTACATAGACTGAAAGGTCACTATACGACCAATGCCAAAAAAATGTAATAACTCCCCTATTAGGTAATGGTAAATCAAACTGACGGTTCAATGAATTTGGCTTCAAGTCGCTAATATTATAGGATGACAGCTGGGTCAGGTCAATAAGTAAAGGAGCCCCAAAAATTTGTAAACTTCTCCTGGCTAAAAAAAAGCACTGTTAGATGAGATTAAACAGAGTCTCCTTCTCCTACTCAGAACCGCAGCCGCTACAAAGTGATTACACGATAGTAGTTACATATGTAAAATAATAAAATTGCTACACAAGCTAAGACTAGCTGTAATAATGAATAAATATAAAGAAATTTATGTAAGGAATGTCTCGAAATATGTACAGTGAAAGCCCTAATAAGAGAGTAACGATTGGACTAGCAAGACCCTGTATTGCATGATAAATAGATTAATCCATATATTAAGCTGTTAAGTCAAACTCTTAAAGGTTTTCTTTTTCTCATATTTTTTTTTATTCATTTCGTATTTAAATCCTACAAGAAATACATTTACAAAATCCAAAAAGCTACTTAAAACATTTTTCCGGTTTATACGTATTGAACTTCCGGTTTCCGTTTTTATTTTGATATGATTTTAAGTGCCACGGCATAAAAGCATGAAAATAATTTTGTGAAATTGCAGCGACTTTCACTTCTGCCACTACTTGAACCTGGTTTAATGACTTTACTGAAAGTAGCCTAATTACAGTTTTCTTAGAAACTGAGAGAGGGGCGTAGATGGAGGCAGTTTGTTGATTTTCGTTTGATATCATGGACTAAAAAAGGCTGAACGAAGAAATTATCAACCCTGTACTTTATTTTGTGTTTAATGGCTTGCAAAAATAAATGTCGATTTTTGTAAAAACACGCACGGTTAAATAGCCTGGAAAGTTAAGCAGTGCAATTATTGTGATGAAGCTGCAGGGTTGGGAAAAGTTAAAAAGGTAATTTACACTTACGCTTTCTGAAAAAATGCAGGGTCTAACGACGTAAAAACAAAGGTTCCACTAATGAAAAAACTATATGATCAAGCTATTCCATATATATAATAGATTGTTTTAGAGAGATATTTTATAAAATTTTCGAAAATGTTTAGCTCCAATAAATTAACTCTGAATTAAACTTATTGAAGAGCGATAGTGTTTTTGTATATATTAAATTTTAATTGCTTAACACAAATGGTAGTTCAATTTAAGGCATACGAAGTGTATTCCTAAGTAATTAGGGCTTTTTAGAAATAGTTATATGGTGTATGGTCATTGATTACCTTTCTTCTTTGAAAATACTAAATTGCAACATTGCTTAATTGCTCTGCAAATTTTTAGACTATTCTATGAGCTGGCCATGACCTGGAGGTACCAGTAAAGTTCGAATTAAAAGAAGCAATTTATTTATTCCTACAATAAACTTCGATAACAGGTATTCTATATGACAACTAGATGTAAGGAATTAAGTTTTTGAGTCAGAAGATGTAGTTCTTGAAGATGTCGAAGCAAGAATTTTGGATAGCTTGCAAGTTCACAAAAGACTATAATCAAGAATCTTATTATCCGAATTGTTCGGACACTCGATATTAATTCCAGTGAATACAGGGATTGATGAATAAATATAATGCGAGTTTTAATAAGAAATAAATCATAAGTGCTAACCGCTGAGCGTAATTTTTGTCAATTGATTTGGACATTTCTTTATAACCCGATAACATTATGAAATAGGCACCACTTCGTACACACTTTTACGTAAAAAAGATAACTTTGTTCACTCTGTACCTATCCGTCCAAACCTTAGAAAAATCTGACAGTGTACTAAACATAACCCTATTACCAATACCTGCGTTTAAAGCAGCTTGTTGACTTTGTTGTGAGGAGCGATTCGTTCGAATAAAATAAGTGTACTTATAAGGTAGACTCCAAGGTTTCACTTCTGAAAACCAGTTCGTTCATAACAGCGAAAATAATCGTATGAATAGACCGGTCGAATGGTTTATTCGAATGGTTTATTCTACAGGTATTAGCAAAGTGCTTTCTGGGAAATATTTGAAATCCTTATTATAAGTATGTTTTTTTCAGTTTAAATATGCCTATCCGCAGTTTTCATCTAAGTAGTTTTGAAAGATAACGGGTTTTCTATTAAAAGAAAGGTCAGGTAAGGTTATTCTGGCAGGCCAAAAAGGCTATATGTAGATCTATTAAAACAAAACCTATTGAATATTTTAAATTATACCGGAGTTTAACAAGACCGGAGTGTAATTTCAAAGAACATTAAGTCTGTTTAACTTTAGCTAAGGACTAAAATCAAATTTATTTAGAAACATTTAAGTGGTAGATAGAGACATAGTTGAGTTACCCTTTAAACTGTTAAAATGAAGTAATTTCTGAAATATATTTACTTTTTCCATTGCTTAACATTTTTTCTCTGTTTGAAATTAGAAATAATTGCACTAAAAATTTGCGATTCTACTAAGTTAATGGAGCCATTGAGGCGGCAGAAGTGGAACCTAATGTGGTTTCTGTAAACGCCAGGAAAAACTGAAACCTGAAATTCTCTTTGTTTTCCATTTCGACATTTCATCTTTCCACCGCAAAGGCACTTTTAACTCCAAAAATTATTACATGGAAAATTAGAAGGGTTTTCGTTAAGGCAACCACAGAAGTAGTCAAGACAATTAAGTTTTCAACTTCAAAAATACAAAAAAACGAATAAACGGAATAAACGGAATAAAATACAAAAGAAATGGGAAAAGCTTACAGAAAAAGGCTACACATTTTGTGGGAAGGATCGTCATTAGAGTTGTTTGGCTTTCGATGTTTGGCAGAAAATGGCGGTAAATGCTACAAAATGGCTGCGTAAATATGCTTTTCCGTTTGCTTGATTTGAGGTTTCTGTCATTTAAAGTGTTGCCAAAGTGCCAGAGTGGCAAAGTGTTGTGATGCTGTGTATCAGCATTGCCGCGGATGTCCTTTCCATGCTTAAAGACCCAATTTAATTACTCGCTCTCTTAACTTTAATGAGTTAAGTCATTAAAAGTTGCGGTGCACTAAATTGTCGTCTTGGCATGAGACAACGGAAAAAGAAAAAAATTGCAAAATGCGAGAAATAAAAAAAATTAAAAATTAAAAAGTAAAATTATGCCCTGCAAATATTTTGTTTCCTATGCTGTGCCGCTCACTTCAGTTAAGTGTGCAGATATTTTCTAATATTCGCCTTTCGTCTTTCGTCTTTAGCCTGCCAACTTTGTTAATTCTCCGGGGAGCGCTTTTATTGCATAGCCATAAGCAATTTTGCATTATTTCAATTCCCCGCCCACCGTGCCACTGTTTCTGCTAGTGTGTGTTGCCTTGCCTCACATATAAACAAATTGCAAGTGCCTGACAGTGCTGCCAACTTTTGTTTCAATTTTATGAGCACGATTATAAGTACTCCACACACATACGCCCAATGGGCATAAACGTTTTACTATGGCCGTGCAGCATTTATTGTTATTTAAATATTTTATACAAATAAGCAGCAGCACTGATTTTTATCTAAAAATGAAGCAAACGTTATCATCTCAGCTCCGTTCGCCGGGGCATTACGCTCGTCTATGGAAAAAGACAGGGACAAAGGCATTTATGTTCACATTACAAAAATTTTATTATTACATTTTTTTCTAAAAATTTAGGGTCGCATTTAATTTTTTCGTGATAAAATTAAAAAAAAAATTTTTTTATTTTTATTTGAATATTCTTTGAAACTTTACCTTTACACAATTTCCACTTTCATTTTTGCAGTGTGACGACCATTTATCCTCCGGTGACATTGTGGTCTTTGCGCAGCGTCTTGGCTCGCATGTTTGCTGGCATCCTGGTTGCTTTGTGTGCTGCGTTTGCAAGGAACTACTCGTGGATTTGATTTATTTTCATCGCGATGGCAACCTCTACTGCGGAAGACATCACGCGGAAACCCAAAAGCCACGCTGTTCCGCTTGCGATGAGGTGAGTGCAATATTTATTTTTGCTTCGGGAATTCCATTCTTTATTCTGCCTCGATTTTTTTTTTTAAATATTTATAGAGATTACTTTGTTTATTACCCGATTAAGGTATTTTAAATATTAAGGGCATATTTCATAAATTACAACAAGTAGCAAAGTAAATAATTCGGAGCAATTTATGTTGAAAGGCCAAAAACCATATATAATAAGTATATAAGTCAGGTACACTAAATAAAAAAAAATAATAAAAAAGCTAAATTTAACTATATATAAAAATTATTGCAGAGAAAAGCTCAAATTTTTTCAGACAGGTGTTATCAAAAATTATTCTTATTGAAATCATAGAAACATTTATTTTATTTATGTCTAAGATGTCTAAGATTTTGTTTATCAATACAGGAATTTTTCTAATTCTAATTTATATTATATACATAAATAATGTATATTAATTTTTTCTTAAGTTTTCTATAATAAGACAACGATATTTCTCATAATGAGCAAGCCGTTACTTATTTCATAAGTACTATTATGCCGTTACCAACAAAATTAAATACGAGAAGTAAAATTAAGCGCTAATACAACCTTCCAATAATAACACACAGTTATTCTACATATGCTTTAGACTTCCTTATATAAAGAAAGGCATCTTTCCCTCTTTTATCTTCTTTCACCTTCTTTCTCTTTCTCGCTTTTTTCTCTCTCTCTCTTACTCACTGTCTGTTTCTTTTCTTCCTGTTTCACTTGTATTTTTTGCCTATATCCTTCTTTTTTTTTTATTTTTCTTTCTCACTTCCTTTATTTACTCCCTCTTTCTTATCGCTCTTTCCTTATTCCTCTCTCTTTATCCATCTCTTTGTTCCTCTCTCTTTATCCTTCTCTATTTACCCCTCTGTTATATCTCTCTTTTCGTCCGTATCTCTATATTTCACTCTTTTTTCCCTTTTTCCTTCCCCCTTTGTTTTCCCCCTCTTGTCTTTTTCTCTCTTTCTGCATCCCTCTTTCTTCTCTTCATCTTTCTCTGTTAATTCTCTTTCCTCTTGCACTTTACTATTATCCTATTTTTCTCCTCTTTCGCGATTTTCTCTTTTCTTTTTGTTTTTCTTTGTTAATCCTCGTCCTTGATTTTTTCTTAAACCTCTATTTTCATTTTCTGTAACTAGTCTTTTTTGTCTTCTTCTTCTTTCTCCGTTTCATTCTGCTTTTTCTTCATCCTTTTTCACCTCTTTTTTCTTTTTCCCCTTCATCAGTACTTTGTTGTGACTATTGTAGCTTTTATTATACTTACTTATAGTCACTTCCGTACCTGTTTTACAGAGTTATGTTTAGAAGTCGATATTGTAGGACTCCTTATATATACATTTTTTTACAAAGTATTTTTCGCTTATTTCATTTATCTAAATATAGTTCTAACAAAACTATTTCTATTTTATTTTCAGATAATTTTTTCTGATGAATGCACAGAGGCGGAAGGACGTACTTGGCATATGAAACATTTTGCCTGTCTTGAATGTGAACAGCAACTGGGTGGACAACGCTATATAATGCGAGAAGGCAAACCATATTGCCTGAGTTGCTTCGATAGCATGTTCGCAGAGTACTGTGACTATTGCGGTGAAGTAATAGGTGTAGATCAGGGTCAAATGAGTCACGATGGCCAACATTGGCATGCAACAGACCAATGTTTCTCCTGCTGTACATGTCGTTGTTCACTTCTTGGCAGACCATTCCTACCAAGACGAGGAACTATTTATTGCTCCATAGCTTGTAGTAAAGGCGAACCACCGACACCGTCTGATACTAGTTCCGGTCCACAATTACGACCAACACATCGTGCCAGTACAACAAGCCAAATTGCAAGATCTCCAAGGCACGGACGCGGAGAAAATCGCACTAAAAATACAACCAAAAATGCAGGCAGTGCTGGTGACTTGATAGAAAGACATGAACGGCAGCGACTGAATGTTGGTTTGGATCGTTTGACACTGGCACGTAACTTAGAGAATGGTGGCGTACCAGGCATACCTAGACCAGCACATCCACCACCAATAGACTTAACAGAATTAGGTATTAGTTTGGATAATATATGCGCTGGTGATAAATCAATATTTGGTGACACAAATTTAACATCCTCCCTACCCGATATGCTAATGTCAAAAGCCGAAGATTCGCATAGTTATCAAAGTATTGACAAAATTAATATAAACTCGCCGAGTGCTTCAGATATGACGCAAAGCACACAGGAAATAACCAACGAGCTTGAATTGGACAATGACGACAATGAAAATGATTTTTCAAATGATAATTACGAGCGACTGTTGACGACAAAGTCAAGAACCAATAAGCACCGAAACAAGCATGAAATTGATAATGTTGCTGAAATCAATGATGAGGAAAATAATCGCCAGCATAATATGAAGGAGGTACGCTTCCATAGCATCAACGACACTATGTCACGGTCGAAAAGTTATACAGACAACTCAAATGCCAGACGCAGGCGACGTAAACGTAATCAATCACGAAGTTCATCCGAAATGCAAATCAATCAAACAAATTTGCGGTTGCACAACGCACAAACGCAAGCAGGTGTTGTCGGCAACAATTTGGATAATTGCGATGCTGTCAGTGTTTGTTCCACCTGCTCCTCTAGTTCATCCAGCGATATGGATGATTATGTGTATCGCATACCGGCGCGCAAACACTATGGGGGTGTGCGGGTTTCATATGTGCCCAACGATGCAATAGCCTATGAGCGCAAGAAAAAGTTGGCTAGTCAGGAGCAGAGCGTTGGTGGTAGTGGCGGTAGTGGCGGTTGTGGTGGTAGCACGACGAGTGGTGGTGATAGCAAAAGTTGCGTGATATCATGACAACCTCCAATACTACCGCCACCGCCATTAAATCTGGGCAGTTATTATATACTGGATACGATTTTGGAGGAACAAAGATTGGTCGAAGAAAAACGGCCAGGCTGTTTAAGGCGTTTTTGGCAGTACATAAAAAACGGAAATGGTAGGAAAAGCACGAAAATGGAATGCGTGTAAAGTGGGAGAGGTAGTGTTGGAGAGCAATGTAATTAGTGAAGTTTATTATGAGTTTATCGATAATTATATAAAGGAGTAGTAAGCGAGTTGTAGTGAAGGAAAACTCAATTAAGTAATTAAAATTTTGTATTCAATTAATGTTGTGTCCAAGTACTTTGAGTAATTTAGACTCCGGCCAGTGTCTCGAGTTAAATTAGCATATCTCTGTATATAATAAATGCTGTTTAATTTTGTATATTAAACCGAAATAGAACTTCCATATCGTAGCTACTAAAGTATATCAAACTTAGAACTTTGTACAAAGCAACTATATCAGTATATTTACAACTGAACCTAGAGTGTATATTAGTGTTTTATATTATTGTATATCTCGATATATTCTTTTATTGTTCATTACATTGTAACACTGTACTTAAGAGATGTATGTAGAGTCATTCATTTGTATATAAATATTTTTATTAATAATGTATTTATTAATAATTAAGAATTCATAATCAAAAGAACTGTCAAAATAACATGTGTAGTTTATCTATCTATAAACAACGTGAAACAAAAGAACAACAACGAAATATCTGTAGGAAAAATACGATTATTTTACAATAGACAATACAATAAAAACAAAATAAATAAATATATAAAAAAAATTATAAATTGTTAATAATATTAAATTTATGCAAAATAGGAAAAAAGTTAAATTTTTTGTTTCAATACAACGAACATTTGTGCAATATTCATGAATACAGAACCCACGTCTTAGCAACAAACAAAAAGCTTCCATAAAAACAATAAAATAAAAATATAAATAAAACAATAATTTATTTCTTTTATACAAAAACAAAAATATGTTAAAAGATTAATAATAGTTTAGAAAGGTTTCGTTTTCAGTTTTTGTCTAAATTATTCGGATTCTTCATTCACTTGAACATTTCGCGAAATAAAAACTCATAGAAAAATTGGAAGAAAGGCTTTCTTCACAAGCAAACTTTATATAATTTTACCCAATTTTACTTTCTTTTTTTATTAAACAAAAATTTGTTATTTTTGCAAATGAAAGTTTTTTTTATTGTTTATTGTTTATTGTGTTTTGTTTTATATTTGTTTATTGTTTATTGTTCAAAAAATGTTTCATAATAATTAACAAAGAATATCGCAAACCTTCTCTCATGAAAGATATTTTTACTATTAGTTTTTACGAATAAATTTGTATGTTGTCATATAATCAGCAAAATTTTATAATGAAAAATATAACTATAACTATAATAATAAAAAATTTTTAAATATTTGAATATAACTTTATTTATTTTTAAATGAATATCATATATAACATTGTATTTTTATGTAAATTATTACAAAAGTAAATGTAAGTTGTGAAAGTAGTTGAACGTATATAGAAAACTATATTTTTATTCGGTAGTTGTCTTAAGTGTATCATTATTATTATTATTATATATTATAAACATATAAATAAAAATAAAAATATGAATTTTACAATTTCACTGTCAAAAAGTTTCTTTTCTTTTATTATTATGTTTAGGATAGTTGAATCAGTGTTCTTGAGCACTTTTACTCTTTATTAACTGCGAGGTTTCTTCATAACCTCTCTCTACGTCTTGACTGGATTATTGTTTATCACTTCATCATACTAATAATTGACCTCAAACAACCTGTAACCATTCTGAGATTCGATATCGCGGTGTTGGTCAACCTGTCAGATTTCGTAAATAATTTCAGGGCTCTATTCTTCTATTCTTCATGTATTGTTTGGTCGAATCAATCTTGAAGTCCCTGAGAATATAATTCATTCTAATATCTAATTTTATGGAGGACATCATTAACTTATTTGGTTATAGCAACCCTAAGAAATTGAACAGAAGGGTTACTAGATTAGATTTCTACTGAACGTAGATAAAAATGTTGTTAGAATACCAAGTACTATATGTAAATTATTGCAGAAGCATAATGTTCTTCAAGAGATCAATGATTTTGGTCTCATAGATATTTGTGTTACATCAAGGTTAATTGCCCAATAGAAGAATGATATAAAAAATCAACTGGAAGTTAGCTCTCAGAAAGCAGTAGTCTATGAACGTGATTGATCTTTGGTGGTACTTACCGATCCTAGCTGAACATAAAGTACTCCGGCTTTCCAGGATATTATCTTGGCACAAGGATAGAAACACCTGGCCTAGCAGTATCCTCTCGCCCTACCTCAAAGTTAGGCATTCACAAAGAATATGACTAAAAGTTTCATTCAATTTCAGAGGTAAAATTCTTTTATTTCAGACAAACCCTTCTTATAAAGATGATAACGTAGGTCATGATAACCTATCAAATAATCTGCAAATCACCTGAGTTCTATGCTACTGAAGATGTAACGTGACCAATACTTATTGAAATTGAGAGGTCTAGTTACCCCACTAAGAAAGGACATCTCTAGGTTTGTGGCTTTTATAACCGTCGACTTGTTATATGGTATGTACTGGATTAAGATAAGAAAGATAAGATATTTGTAAAATCTGTATACAAAACTAACTTATGTCAACGTGATTCCTAAAAACAGCTGCTGTTATTCTAAGCGACTTATTGAAATTATTCAAAAACTACACTATACATGTCAAATACTTCTTAGACACAATGAAAGTATCCAAGCTTTATTTGTACCTGTTTAGTACAACCTGTTCAATTTCTAAGTCGGAGCTCAATTTCTAAGTCTTAATCCAGTCAATGATTTTGGGGTGTTCCGTTAGCGCTAGAACCGTGTTCTTTTTGCTTAGAGAATCTTTTGAATGTGCTATTTCGTGACTAAATCATCTAATATACTCTATTTTACAAAACGAATATGCTTACTTATTGAATCTTATTGTATTGTATTACTTATTGATATCTGTTCAGTTTAGGGTTTGTATTGAGTCCTTCAAACAAACATAAATTTTTCTCAAAATTATTTTTAAAAAATTGCTAGCTTTTTGTGGTCTGCACCTTCATTTGTATTTAAATATTAAAAATGATTAAAATTGTTAAAAAAATCTGTATTCATAATTAACCATAATTTTCGATTAAAATATATTTGAGATTTTACGAACTTCTCTATAGAGAAAATCCTGCTGCAAGATTTTACCCACATGAAAAGGTGAATACTTGATTTATATGTAATATATAATTTAAGTCATCTTACTATGCAGATATTCAGATACTAGTTTGAGTTTAAAAGAATTTGTGAAGTGTAAATATTTATACTTTGTATAAATTCCATTAAACACCTGCAATGTGGGAGAGTACGCCATTTCTACCGCCGTCTTAAGACTCACTAAACTCACCACTAATTTACGATCTTTAGCGATGCCAGTAAATGCATCATCAAGTGTTTTGGTTTACGACTACTTAAAAAATCATAAAATATCTGCGAAAAGAGAAAAAAAAGTATCGAAATCAAAGATGAAAAAATATGAAAAAACCTAAACGAAAGCATAGAAATTTTCCTGAAAAAAGATTTAATGACCCAGCATGATTTCAGCATAAAATCCCGCACAACAGAAAATTGCAAGACGTCCTGTCATGTCTACTCCACCATCGAAGTATTACTCGACATATTCATGCCATTTTTAGCGGTTTTCTTTCGTTTCATTTAATGGATCCGCTCATCTGGCAACCCAGTGATAACGTGTCGTTTAGCAGCGTTTAACGTTAAATGTTCCGTTACGTTACGCGGGGTGAATAAACTCCACAGTTTCAGTGCTGCTCCACTCCTACACTCTTCTGCTCCCTATGCGGAATGCATTTTATTGACAGTTTATTTGGTTGTAAAAATTATATTGTTTCAGTTTCACTGTTTACGACAAACGTCGAGACGTTACACGCTACGTCAATTCCAGTTCGAACGTTCGCTGATTTTTTCTTCTTCATCTGAATTTAAAGCTCATAAATTTTTGGTTTTATAAGGGAAATTTGGGTTTTGATTTTTATTTTATTAATATTCGAAATTAGCTTTTTGAATGTTTTTAATTGATGCCTTCGGTCGCCCGGAGCTCTTGCCATGTTTGATAACAGAAATTTAGAATTTATTGCGTTAATAAAACACGCGAATGAACACGTCGAAATGGAGTCGCAGAATTCATGTTATAGATTTTACGATTTTAGTATGTCAAAGGTGTCATTTTTCAATTACAAGCGAAAAAAAATTTAATAATTATAGATAAAAATGTGATTGATTGCGAGAGATGCTGAGCCGCTTGAGCTGTTTATGCAAATTAGTACGGCGAAGTTGAGCGATTAAACGATTATGTGGAAGAGGAGATAAGACAACAACTTAAGTATAGAATGGAGAAGTTAAGTGTTTTAGTTGAGTGCTTAGTAGCTCTGATATAAGCGTACTTTGCATTGAATATATTGAATAATTTGTGGTTCTTTCTAAAGTACTACTAAAGACAATAGTTTTTTATTATTTTCTTAATTGTGGTTAAAGAAACAGCAATTTCAATTTCTTTGATGCTGTATTATACAATACTTTATATTCTATATTATATATCATATGTTCCATATTCTATGTTCTATATGCTATATTCCATATTCCATACTCTATATGCTACATTCTACATTTTGAGTTCTAAATTCCATATTCTATAATCATATTCCATACCCTGTATTCTATATTCTGTATCTATATTCTATACTTTAGCCTACTTTTCCACTATGCTATATGTATAAATAACTTATCTTTTTAGATATTGGCCTCCTATGAAATCGGAATCTCCCTAAACTTTCTTGTGATTGTTAGCTACCATACCACATATCCATATATTGTTCAAGATGTTGATGACACGGCTTTTCGATTGATTAAATTTAACATATTGGTTTGAAATTATGACTTAAGTGCTAATAATGCACCATAAAGGCAAACTAATAATGGAGTTGTTTACATATTCTGAACAATTCGAATAGGCAGCGTAGTAAGAGGAGATAAAAAATTGACTGTCAGAATAGTCTCGCCACAGAATACAGAATATGTTCTGATATTTTCCCTTCTTCGTAATAAAGTCTGAAGTTATCGTCTCTTGTAATACTTAGCTTCGATATATGCTTTTTTACTTCCCAATATCCAGTGAAAACCCTGTTACACGTCGGATGCCATTTCTTCTCAGCATTAAGAGCTCCTTTGTTCTGGCTTTTGATCGATTCAGCATGAATTCTTTAGCTTGAAAAAGCTCCATGAATGACCGCCAAATGGTTGTGGCTTAATACAGTATAAGACGTCTCTTTTCTGACTAGTTCATTTGCTTTCTCGTTTTCCTCAAATCCGCTGTACCATGGGATTCATATTAAGTGAACCCTATTCCTTTCAGCAAAGTCTTTGAGAAGTTGAAGAAGGCA